TTGAATTTTGGCACAATTTGACAATAAGACAGTACAGCAGGCAAAACAAAGTTCCATAATGTTGACTAATTGTGTTAAAAAGTTAGTGTATCATTACTCAACTTGCTAAATAGCCATACCTGGTTTTCAGTCCAAAAAACATGCGGATCGCTGAATTCATGAGGTATAATTAACACCTCTCCTAGGGCACTGTGTAAACCAGTAGCAAATTAATAGATAATAGAAGATATAAATACATTCCCATATCCTGAGCAACTGTGATTATATTTTGATAGGACTGTAGTTCTTAAAATGTTTAATGATAAATGCAGCTATGCTATAATATTGATATCCTTTTGAAATGTCTGGCTTAAAAGCATTTTTATTTGAAAAGACTCATATACAATTTATTAAATTGCTAATGTTCTGGGGGTTCTTTGATAAAGAGTTAATCTGTTTAGATTCTGAGCTTGGGAGCCAGATGGCTGCCCATTACTGGTGTAGCTTAATATTAGTACATCTGCCACAACCTACCTATTTATGGCACTTTTTTTCCCAGATCCAGAAAGTAGGGTTGAGATAATTAAATTCATATCGGAATCTAATATGGAAAACATTTTGCATGTTGTTGATTTTAGACTGGTCAGCTTCCAAAAACAATTCAGACCTTGATTATCATCTTTAAAGCCCTACAAAGTGAGGAAATACTTTCGTATGTGTTCTTCTGAACATCAAACCATGTCTAAATAGAATCAACTCCTTCCAGGTCCTGTCCTTTCATTTCTGCCATCTGACAGGCCCTTAGAAGGAGTTGACCACACTCTCATTCTACAAAGATCAGTTAATTATGTCCTCTTGGGCTTTAGGAAAGCCTTTGACCCACTTATTCCACCTGGTTTAGGAGGGGTTGCAAGGAGACAGCCTAGAACCTTCTGGGAATGAACAGCATATAAATTAGGAGAGGAATTATTTTCTGAATATCTCAATAACTTCTATCAATTAAGATAAGAAAAAAGATGTCTGTTTTCCCAGCGGTATATAGAAATATAATTTAACTTTATCTCATGGAATAAAACACAGTAGTATATTTGGAAAAGAACAACTTGAAGCTTGTTTCACAGTACACATGACTTAAAACTTTCTTTTATGCATTACATTTTATACACAGAATGAGAATTTCCTGTAATTTGGCATGAAATAGATTAAGCAATTTAAATAAATTTAATCAGTGTTAAATCAAAGTTAGTAACTTCTTGTTTTTTAAATCATATTTAGCTATATTTCTGTAAATTGAAACAAAGCAAAACAAGACTATAATATATTCTTTCTTTTCCTAAATGGAAACCTACTATCAGTTTAAATTAAGATCTTAAAGCTCAACATTCAATATCATCTGTAAAACACAAACTGTGATTAGTGAATAAACAATAGGGTCAACATTAACCTTCAATGGAATTCACACTGAAGTATATTGTACGTAGTATTGTCAAGTCAAAAATTTGACGTTGAAATTAAGCATTTGGCACACTATTATAGACAGTAGGAATAGCATCTAGTCAATCTTGTCTTATCTTGGAAAATAGCCTGATTTGGAGACTTTGTCTTTATTTTCTATTATTGAATCACAGACTGATTCCAAAGGCCTTGCTATTCCATAAAGTAGCATTTTGTTCTGCAGCATGTTACAGGAAATTTACATAGAAAAACCTTCCACAAAGGCAATTTTTCTACCTTCTATTTGGCTTTCTGTCCTCACTTTGGGATAAAGGTTGCCAGCGACTTTTTCAAATATGAACAATTTAAACTAAGGTTGTTGTGAGTACTGCTGGGAAATGCACATTGCCAGATGCTCAGTTCCAGACTCTCTATTTCAGTGCATCTATGCATGATTGCATGAATTCCGATGCAAGGATGGTGGGAGGTTCCAGTAGATTTGTATGGGACATTTGGAGACGACTATGATAAACTGCCCTAGGGAGGTTCTGCAGCATTCATAGCAACAGAAGTCACTCTTTCGGTTCTGGGGGGGAAAAAACAGAATTTGCCCTGGGCCTTACCAGAATCTGCAAAGAGAATTCACTATACATACTAGACGAGCGCATGGGATATAAGGCAAGGAAGAGCTTTTTACTTTTAAAAGGCACGCTCAAAGAAGTATCATAAAATACATTAGTATATAGCTAAGTCATCATCATTTTATGTGAGGTTACAAACAGTGAGTGAGAGCCAAGTTGGTGCAGTGGTTAAGGCACCAGGCTAGAAACCAGAACTCCATGAGTCCTGCCTTAGATACTGGGTGATCTTGGGCCAGTCACTCTCTCTCAGCCGTACAAAGCAGGCAATGGCAAACCACTTCTGGGAAAGAAAAAAAGCCTTGCTAAGAAAACTGCAGGGACTTATCCAGGCAAATATCTGAGAATTGGACATGACTGAATGGAAGAAAAAGGACTGCTTATTTATGTCAAATTATCTAGATTTGTAGCTGAATCGTTTTAAGTCTTTCGTCCTAGCAATCCTTTTGCATATTAACTTAGATGTAAGTGCCACTGTCTATAAGATTCTTCTTAGGTAGTGTAGATATTCAGAGCAAAGCATGAAATTTTGGCTCAGGGAAACCAGTGAGATATGGGAAAAGAAAATCACATTATTATTTAAATCCTACAACTATGTAGTTTTGCTGGGGGCAGAAAAACCTTCATTATTTGCTCCAATAATTTCTGAGACCATTATACCAAATGTTCTCAATAAAGTACAGTCCAAATTGCCACGAAAGCAGGAAGAGGCAATGTAAGGCCCTGCAGATATAGCTTAATTACAACTCCAAGCATCCCTGACAATTGGTTGTTCTGACTTGATCCTGGGAATTGCTGCCCAAAAATATGTAGAATGTCTGCGATAAAAATGAAGAGGTTGAAACATACATAAATTGACCACCGTTGACATCTTATAAGCTTGGATATGGAGGATAAACAAGTATAGCAAATGTATGGTATTTCCCCCCCAAAAGAACACTGAAATGAAAACAACTTAGGACAGCAACTATTTAATTAAAATAGAAATAGAATCTTTAATCTTATGCATATTTTAATCGTAATTTCCATGGCTTGTACATTTGTTCAGCCTTGTAACCAAAGGTCTTTTTAGAGTTAAAGTTTTTTAAAATATTCAGGACTTCCCTTTGCTAAATATAACACATTAATAAATGCAAGGACTACTCATCTCAACCCTGAGCTCAAACATTCTCTTTTATTGGAGGAAGGATTATTAGGTTTGTTCACAATCTTGAGCTATTTCTAAAAATAATAAAGATGGGGTGAAAAAGAATATAAAACCATGTTTCAGATATCTTAGAAAACTTTGTTAAAGATTTTGATGAATGATAAGAGGGGTTGTTCTTAGATTTTCTTAGATATGAGACATTTGTAGCATCCTCTTAATATTGTCAGCATCTTGTCTTGTCTTTTAGTTTAAAATTATGACCGATAGAAATAAATGATGCTGTACAAACAAATGCATAATATGTATTTCAGTGAATGGGAATGGAATTATATTGCATTTATTTCAGATCTGGAGCCTATAAGGAAAAAAGAATATTTTATAATTCATAGCATTAAAAAGGTCACTTTGACAGAGCATATGGTTTTCACTAAGTCAAGGTTAATTCCATACCTTTGCAGTAGAAAGACTGATAATGTGTTGATCCTTTTCATTGGTGACAATCTCAGTGATACTAAATAAATGTCCTATCAATTTCCCCACTGGTTTGGTGTTGATGTTTGGATGCCATAAACGAAGAATTTTATCTTCTCCTGGAATTAAATGGATCATTTATTTTTTATTTTATTTATGAAAAGCAGTATTTCCCAGCTTGCTGTCCTCCAGATGTGGAAGGTTTCACTCCTAAATTCCCAGTCAACGTGTTTGAAGACTAATAAATCTGGAAAACATCAGACTAGACCAGCCAGAAAGACCTAGAAGTAGAACTAGACCAGCCATGAAGAAAATACAATGTTTTAACAATTCACAGCTAGTATATGTATTGACTTGTTCGTAAGACTTATCAAGCCAACAATGAATTGAATACTTGTTTATTTTGTCTATATACTGTATTAAACCAATATGTAACTATTTTCAGATCTAATTAGAAAGTTAGAAAAGATTTGCAGTGATCAGTTTGAGTTACCCATCTATGGGTGATGTACTGTATTCAGTTGCTATAGCAGAGCATTATAAAATAAGGACACTCTGGTTAGTTGTTTTGCCCAATACACTTTACCAAAAAATAAATTGTTTTGTTTTTCTGTTCCTCAAACCTGAAATGTTGGGTGGCGGTAGATTTTTTTTTTTTTTTTTGCCTTTCAAGCTCTAGAACAATATTTTAAATCTATCATACTGATTTGTAACCCATCATTTCAGGTTTCTTGTAATGTGACTTGTTCAGCATTCTGTGAAAAAGCTATGGGTTAATAGCAATAGCACTTAGACTTATATACCACTTTATAGTGCTTTACAGCCCTTTCTAAGCGGTTTCCAGCATCAGCATATTTCTCCCAACAATCTGGCTCCTCATTTTATCAACCTCGGAAGGATGGAAGGCTGAGTCAACCTTGAACCAGTGAGAATTGAACTGCCAAACTGCTGGCAGCTGGCTGTTAATAGAGGTAGTCTACAGTACTGCATTCTAACTACTGCACCACCATTATTTTCTTATTATGTAATTTAGAAGCCCATATTCCTATCCTGTCTGGTCAAGGTGGCTAAACAAAAATACAAATGATAAAAAACAAAATTTAAAACAACAATATCACCGAGGTAAAATTAAACTATCATTAATATGAGTTCAATTAATATTTGAAATGAGCTAATTCCTGTCAGCAACCATAATCTTGCTGTCAGTCAAACAAAATTATTTAATTTATCTTAATGGGGTGTTGGAGGTGGGTTTTTCTTTCCTTAGATGATATATTTTTTCATGAAAGAAGAGTAGGAAGTATCATTTTTTATTCTACTTCAGGCAGTACAAAGTTTCTGGACTGGTTGGATCTTGTCCACCCCATGCACACCATCCTTCAATCGTATTCTTTGACAATCCACACACAGTGGCAAAGGAGCACACCTGTCTTGGAGCTGCAAATACCATAGTAATATATACAGCTCCCTAACAACCCAGCCCCATTACACAGCAGAAAGTAGGGCAGATGGTACCATTGGTCTATCATTCTCCAATTTCAAACTAGGAGCTTGATCACTGGGAGAATGGGATGCTCATCAGGTCATCAGAAACCACCAGAGTATCTCATAAGGCTCTATGTGTTATTGATCAGGAAGATTGCCATATCCATACCCATTTCATTTGTTAGGACTAGCTGGCTGTGGTCCATTTAAGTTAGCAGTTTTGGTAGCAAGGCAGAGGTAGCCTTGTACTGCTTTAAAGGAACTTACTGTCCAACTGTTTATTATAGGCACAGGCTGAGTTGGGCTGTGGCTACAGAAATGGATAAGAAGGAGGAACAGTGCTAACCAAGCACTTGAATTGTTTACTTGAGTTTCAAGTAATGAAACTGTATGAAGTTCATTACTGAATTTCAGTTTTGTTTTGTTTTTTAATTTGGGATTCCCATCCCTTTTCAAAACCTAGGGGAGAAAGCATAAACATCTGCCATGTATCACTATCTAGCCACTTCTACCATAAGACCCCAAACATATTAAACATGGCCCCAGTCACTAAATGGATGCCCATCTGATTCCTACATTTAATGCATATGTTTAATGTTGTCTTCTTCCCTAATAGCATATTCATTGGCCATATTATCTCTATATTATTTCCAGAGAGCATCTAGATTGGGGATATAGTTTTAGTATAGAAAAAAAATAAGAAGCAACTGCACAATCCCTTGCATTTTTCAAAGAGCAATGTGTGTCAAATCAATGTTACTCTGAAGGGGGGTTTGATGTGACTACATAAGAGCTTTGAAGGCAATCAAACTTCCTAAGTATTAATTATATTAATCACTTTCAGAATTTGTTAATATGAATGAGAACAAACGCACTGTTTGTCTATCCCTTGCCACTCCTCATGATTCTTCTGGGCATGATGACTAGATTAGATTCAGGGGTCTCCAACCTTGGCAACTTTAAGACTGGCTGAGGAATTCTGGGAGTTGAAGTCCATAAGTCTTAAAGTTGCCAAGGTTGAAGACCCCTGGATTAGAAGACACTTCAAGTTTTCAACTGAAAACAACCCATTAAGTTATAAAGGCACTCATTTTCAGAAAGTTGTTTTAAAAAAAAACTTGGATGGGACAACAATTTGTCAGAGCTGCATAACAGAAGACATTTTAGAACAATTTATACTAAACATTCCACCAATTCTCACTTGCTTTGTATACATCATATAGGGCTCTTATAGCTTTCAGAAACCAAACTTCATGCAAATTATTGCATAGTTAAAATTTATTTACTTTTTCATGCATTTTCTATAAATCAACAAATGTCCCATTTTCCTCACATCCATTCATTTCTCAGGGACTTACTGAAGGGAAAAAAATATGGTGTATATCAGTGGTCCCCAACATTTCCAGCTTGGCAGACTGGCAGGGAGGTGGGGGGGGGAGAGGGGATGCATAACATGCAGTGCAAGTAGAGCTGAGTGCATGTATTGCTTGCCTACCACTTGTGCGGCCCACTACCAAACAGGCAGCGGCCTGGTAATGGGCTGCAGCATGGGGGTTGTGGACCTGTGGTCAGCTCAGCCTAAAGTTTTAATATACTTACAAATTCTGCTACTTGTCATTCCTTACACCCTTTCAGTCAAAATTCTGCCAAACACATTCCCAGTATAATTAAGAAATTAATCTGCCTCTACTCTTTGTGTTTACTCTTGCTATCTTTCCCTTTATATAGGGGGAAATAACATTTTTCCAATCAAAAGGCATATACACATAGACAGTCATCAATAAGGAACAGTAACAAACTACACCCATATTTTAACATTTCTCCCTCATCTATAGCCTGACCATTTTTCAACATTTTGACAGAATTAACTCCTTTTTCATTACTTTTTTTCAGGTACTAACATTTACAGAATTTCTTTCAATTCTACCCTTTGAACAAGCACAATCATCCCCATAAAATCTTTAAAATATTTTTTCTGACCTGTCTTTCCTCCAAATCCATTTTAATGATTTAATATGCTATCAATTGTCCTCTGCTGAACTAATGTTGTAATACTTTGAAGCTTCTTTTAATATCTTGCCAAGACAGAGGCCAGGTTGGGGGAACAGAATGAATGATTTTAAGAAACTAGTTACTAGTTATGTGCAAAATGACTTGTTGCAAAGCAATAGTAATAGCACTTAGACTTATATACCGCTTCACAGTGCTTTATAGCTCTCTCTAAGTGGTTTCCAGAGTCAGCAACCTGGGTCCTCATTTTACCGACCTCGGAAGAATGGAATGCTAAGTCAACCTTCAGCCTGTGAGACTTGAACTGCCAAACTGCTGCCAAACTCCTGGCAGCTGGCAGTAAGCAGAAGTAGGCTGCAGTACTTTATTGTAACCATTGCGCCACCATGGCGCAAAGAGGGAACATTGTCTGCCTGTAGAATGGGATGATATATGTTACAAATAGATATACATCCCTAAGGAAGAGTGAACCGTGTATTCTAAATGTGTCCGTTAACTATTAAGCTAATGGCTTAATTAAAAACAGTGATTTGGAGACATTCTAATGTAGAACAATTGCTCACGCCAAGCCACATTTGTCACCTGGCTTTTTTCTTTCTCTCCCCCTCCTCCCCCAATAAATGCATCAATTTATTCAATATTACACTTGATTGTCAACAAAAGGCTAAGAGGCTAGCACTCATTTATTCAGACTCAGCTTAACATTTCTCTGCTTCAGAATTATCTACGTATGTCTTCCTGCCACCTGCAGAAGTGAAAGTGTTATTTACCCCACTGGACAAAACCTCAAGTTCAATTACATCTGTTAAATGAAAAAAAGTAGCCCTAGTCTTCCTACATAATACATGATACCTACTTTGGTTCTGCATTACAGTGCCAGCCCTCTGGATTGATACTGCCCCAGATATCTGTGAAACTCCCACCTTGGTGATGATCTGGAAATCTTTAAACCTTTAGCTCTTCTCCCAGGTCTGAGGACAGAGTGTTTTTGCAGTCCTGTACTGATTTTGATTCTCTTACAAATAGGAAGAATTACCTATACTAAATGAATATTTTGCAGAAGCAAGAAGCATTCAAGATAATTACAAAGACTGCAGTTTACTTACCTCCTGTAACAATGATATTGGCTTTTACACAATACGTGAAAGCATTAACACCCCTCGGTATCGAAAATTCCCTGACGGGTCTGTAATTGTAACAAGACATTTGATCATACAAACACCTAGGTATCAGTGCTTTTTGCCTAAATCCATAGTTATATGATGGTAGTCCTGGGAAACTGATTTCAGAATCTAAGTCTATAAAAGACTTTGTGCTAGGACTCAAATTTCTATCAAAGACTCAACCAACAACATCACTTGTATGATATTTCAAACAAAAAGTCACTGAAGGTAACAGTTTTCAATATTACCAGAAACATAAGCAAAATTATAGTGAGCAGAAAGGAATGTTTGCATTTTTTAAAATCAAGTCAGAACCAATTGTAAACACTACTTGGTAAAATGATCAGTTATATGAACAATCTCTTTATTGGGTTTTGGATAGTTAAAATTCATATTTTTAGTACTCTGTTTGAGCTGGGTGCCTTATAAAAACACAAACTTACAAATTGTCTTCAATTCTTTTCAGGTCATCCAAAACCAACGAATGAATGCTATCAAATGAACAGGATCCAAAACAATTCAAAGCCGGAATGTATTTTACTCTTATAACCCAGTCATCATGCAGTTTACGTTTAATGCTAGAGGTGATAAAACAAAACATTACTTTAAAAGGCACATCTGGTTATATATCTGAAAATGAATTTAATGTTGCTCCACTGGTCCTCAAGGGGCTTAGTTTCAAGACTCAACCACCTTAGTAACCCTTCTCTGAACAAACTCCAATTTGTCATTGTGCTTTTTGAAATGTAGTGCCCAAGACTGACACAATATTCCAAGCATGGCTTGACCAGGGCAGAGTAGAATGGAACATTTACTTTCTGGACCCAGTATTTGAGTTGGGCCTAGCATTTGCTTTGTTGCAACTGCATGACACTGCTGATAGCCAATAAAGACACCAAGATCTTTTTTATATGTACCATGCCAAAAGTTATAATATCTCTTCAACTTCTCTCATCCCAGTCATTGAGAAAAAATTCTCAACGAATTATGAATTCATTTTTCCATCCAAGCTAAAGTGGAGCCATTAACATTATTTGGGTCAGTCAACTGTGAATCTATTGCTGTGTGAACCAAGAGAAAACATGACTTTGGTAGCAGAGCTCAAGGGAAAAGATACATATTGATATCAATATAGATATAGATATATTGCTCTGTCTTCTTTTCTTTTTTCTCTTGTTTCAGTACAGGTTAGTTCAACCCAGGGGGAAAAGAGAACTTCTGGGAGCTTGTGTCTATAACAGGAAAGTAGGGAGGATTGATGTGTAAGTGTTCTAGGGGGAATGAATAAGAAAGCACTATGGATAGCAAGAAAAGCAAAATTGTCTTCCTGCCTGAAGAGGATCCAGCCAGGTACATTTGCTAAAAGTGCAAACATATTTCTTTTTTGAGAGGAAAAAGCAAAGGAACTCTCAGAGAAGAGAAGAGAAGAGAAGAGAAGAGAAGAGAAGAGAAGAGAAAAGAAGAGAAGAGAAGAGAAGAGAAGAGAAGAGAAGAGAAGAGAAGAGAAGAGAAGAGGCTGTTGGGTAAGACAGCTGAAATTATCCAGAAGGGACAGAGAAGTGAGAAAAAAACCACTTAGCAAAGACTCTGATCCAAACAGCACAGTATCAGCAGGTACAATGGAACTCAGAAACCAGTATAAGGTCTTCCTCTAGAGCAAGAGTGTCAAACTCAAGGCCCATGGGCCAGATCTAGCCCATAGGGTGTTTAAATCTGGCCTGCCCTGGAAACAGCAAAGGACCGGTTCATGATTCCTCTGCCAGTGAAAATGGAGGAAGGAAGAAAGGAGATTATAATGAGAGGGAGGAAGGGTCTGAGGGAAGTCCTGCCTTAGCACTTGGCCATCACAGGTTCCCCCGACATGAGTGATGTTGAGCTGGCCACACCTACCCTGGCCCCCTGAGGTCAAACACAACCCCGATGCAGCCCTCAATGAAATTGAGTTTGACATCCCTGCTCTAGAGGACAATTGAGAGTCAATATGTTCCACTGAAGACTTTGCTGAGATCCAAGAATACTATATCTAAGGCATTCCCTGATCTATTAAGCTAGTAAATCTATAAAAAATAAGACAAAGTTAGTTTAGCATGATTTGTATTTGAGATGTTAGACAGTGGAAATGGTGACGTTATATAGCATCTTTTTTCTTTTTTAATGGCCATTTAAACTACATTTCTATTAAACATGCTATGCCATATTTATAGATGTGTTCCCATAACTCACTGTAGACAATATTAGCTAGATACTCTTTATAGCATCTTCATGAATATATTTTCTTGTTCCCCTCTTTTTACATGGAAAAAGCTTGTCTGCTGTAGCTGCAGTGTGTATTGTTTAATTGTTCTTCTAATGATGCAGGATTTAATATATGGAATTTATTGCCACTAAAGTTGAGATTTCCTATTAATTTAGGGAATTTAAATGGGAACTAGATAAATAGTTGGGGAATAGGGCTATCAATAGTCATGTTTCCATTGCCTCAATGCCATAAAACCAACATCCTTAATTTCCAGTTGCTTGAGAGAAATAATAAAAAAAGAGCTAGCCTCTTTATGTCTTCTGAAATTCCCAGATGTGCTGAACATTTGCTCAGACCTAGAATGACTCTTATATTCTACACTTTATTTATTTATTTCAGGGCGGAAAAAATCCTTATATTAGTTACCAGAGTTGGAATACTTAACCGTGATAGCTGAAGGTCATATACAATAACATTAAATTTAGGTTATGGTATTGAATAGAATATTGAATATTCTTAGAAATAGCAGTGCTGACTAGTTGAAACCTTCATTATAAGCACTTTAAAATTGAATCTTTGAAGTAGAAAATTTATCCTGAAAATTCCAACTTATTTGTCTCCACCAGTGATGGCTAACTTTTTCATCATTGCGTGCTGGAAATTGCGCATGTGCACCTGGCACCCTTAATGCAATGCACGCGCACCCGTGAATGCACGCGCAAACCCCATGCGTGCACTGTGTGCTTCTGTGCATGTGCATGTGACCCCATGCTGCACGCCTCTGTGTATGCGTGCATGACCCCCTGTGCACACTCCGCCCTACGCATGTGCACGTGTCTCCTGTGTGCGCATCTCCCCTCACACATGCGTGGCAGATACCCGACAATCAGCTGGCTGGCGGGGGGCACATGCGCATGCGCAGTGGGTCTGTTCCGGGCGGCGGCTTGTGTGCCAGCAGAAATGGCTCTGCGTGTCACTTCTGGCATGCCATCACAGGTCTACACAGTACGTGTTAAGCATAATTGTTTTCTTTCACAACCTCATTTTAAAAATTATAATTTTGAAATTAAAAAATTCAAAAATGGGAATTTTCAGAGATTATGAACTCACCTTTTGAATTTTTTAGAATCTATTATCAACATGTACCGCTTCTTTTTAGATTTAGTTTGTTTTAGACCAAAGTCATCACTGGTAAGCGTAAACAAAGTAACAAATCCACCATCATCCCCCAGCAAGATGTCATCCTTCACTAGAAGTTCTGATGGGTGAGGAATGGCACAAACAGAGCGGAGGCAATGTTCCATGGGTTTGATTATACAGCAATTATCCTACAAAAACAAGCAATTGTTCATTATATGCTTTAGCATTTATCTTATTAGTTCACTGAAAACAGTAATCGGTTTCAGAACTTTGCATAAAGACTTTAGATGAAATGTCACACAATTCTCTTGACTCAGTTTCAATCCTTAAATTGTATTTACTTCGTTCCAAAATGATATCTTCATCCATCTTCATTATTTTTCCTATGAACTATGAACATTGGATAATTATTTAAAGGAAGTTCTCATAACTAAAAATATTTACAATTTTGGGGAGAAAGAATAGTTAATATA